GTTGGTTGTTACTAACTATTTGATTGAATCGAGTTGGTTCTTTCTAATTAAAGCTCCTTGAAGGCAAGTGTGAATTGCTCTGTCACATAAAATCTCCCTCCCGAAGCTCTTGGAATCATACCAAGAGGCTGGAAATCCTACAGGCTCTTAGAACCAGTGGCAGAGGGTTAGGTCTGGAGCCAGGTCTGTTCAGGGCATCATCTGGGGTAAGAGTGAGACTTGCCGGTGACCACAAGCCCTGGCGCTGAAGCATTCCGTCTTCAGGCTGGCCATACCCCAAAGGAGTAGAATCACCTTTTGAGACTAGGGAGGCAGAAAGACTCAGCAGCCTGGAGAATGTGACTTTCCTTCCTCACTCAGGGCAAACCCAGCCAGGTCAGGAGGAAATGTGTTTGTGTCCCGGGCCTCTGAGGCTTCTGCTCTGTGACAGTTCAGAGCGGACCCCCTGATGACCTCCTGGTGCCCCTGGCCCCATGCCAGAGCCTGCCCACGTCACCGCAGCACTCTTCCAGAATTCATCAGGGCGATCAGTCAGGCTGCCCTAGAACCGGGCCTGGGTGGCTGAGGCTGAACCTTAGGGGAGAACAGCTCTTTACTGGAGCCGCCCTCCCTCCTCTGGTCCAGCACTGCTCCAGATCTGGTTCCAGATGATCTCCGGAACTTCCTAGGCCCTGACAATCACCTGGAACCCTTTATTCCAGACTGACCACCCCTAGTGGGTGGGTGTCCTCCCGTGATATAAGATGAATGGTCAGGTGCTTTACTAGTCACAGGCTTAGCAATGAGTCTTCTGCAGGAATTTCTATTCTGGTTGGTTAACAGGGGCCATGGGCCATCTGTCTTTTTCTTCACGTGACACAGTCATCCACCTCCCCACCCCATTACTCATTATAATTCTACTGACTGCCCACTGTGTGCCAGGACTGTCTCAGGCGTCGTGGAGAGGTGAGATGAGCCAGGCGTGGGTTCTGTATCCGCGGGGCTCACGGGCCCCAAGACCACACGTGAGGTTTGCGTAGGACCACAGAATAAGGGCTCTTCAGAGCGGAAGTCACCTCAGGGATCATCCAATCCAACCCCTCATTCCTCAGAGGAAACTGAGCCCAAAAGAGGGGCATTTAGTCACCCAAGGGCACATAGTAAGTGGTAGTTATTGGTTCACTAAACAAGAATTTACCCAACACCTGTTATAGTCTAAGAACCGGGCCTGGGTACCAGAAAGACCACAGGGAACAAGGCAGACGTGGCCCCGCATCCTTTTGGAGCCCAGCTGTGACTGGTGGGTCTCAATCCAGGTTCCACTTTAGACTCATCTAAGGAGCTTTAAGAAAAATCCTAATGCCAGGACCTCATGCCCAGAGGCTGAGATTTGCTTGGTCTGGGGTGGGCCCAGGGGCGGGTATTTTAAACAAGCTCTCCAAGTGATTCTGCTGTGCAGACAGATCAAGAACCACTGCTCTGACGGAAAGACAGACAAAAACCAAGTAAACACAATTAGATGTGTAACTGAGACTTGTGATTTGTAAGAAATGGACAGGATGCTGAGTGAGGACGTGGCAGGGGTACTGTTATCTGCCCTAAGTCTGAAAGGAGTGAGGCTACACTCAGAGAGCGGGGATGCCAGGCGGCAGGTGGGAGCAGGCAGAAGCGTGTCCTCATATGGGACAGCAATGGAGTCTTCTGGGCCATATCACCCACCCTGCTACCCCACAGATCCCTGTACCGGAACCCTGTCTGGCAGAGGCTCTCAGTCTGCAACCTGTAATATCTCCCCCTGACCCCCATACACACTGTTGATGAATGTCTCCCAGGCCAGTCGGATTAATAATCCCTCACGTTTTGAGAGTGCAGTCATCCCTTGGTATCCACAGGGGATTGGTTCCAAGAAACCCTGCAGACACCAAAATCCAAGGGTGCCCAAGTCCTTTACATAAAATGGTATAGAACCCTCGGCCCCCGGATCCACAGCTGTGCATCCGAGAATATGGAGGGCCAAGTGTAGTTAGTAAAGCACTGTCCCTCTTCTTATCTGTATTATTGGACTCTGAAGCTAATCCCATGAGGTGGGCAGGGTCAAGGTTAATAATCTGATGATAGAGATGTGGAAGCAGGCTCAGAGGAGGGGTGAGACCTGCCTAAGATGACACAGCTAATATCTGGATGTGCAAGACTTCAGTCTAGCTCGCCAGCCTCCAACTCCACTCCCCTATGTTGTCCCCTCACCCCCCACCGCGCTCCGGGTTGTGCCAGGAAACTGAAACAGAAGCAGGGCACCTGGGAGGCAGGTGGGGACACTGCCCTGCAGCCAGCACCTTCCTGTCAAGCTGGGTAGATCTGCCGACGTGCCTCTCCTTTGACTTGCAGGGCATACAAGCTTGTTCTCCAACAGGGAATTAAAGGAACCTGCGACTCGTTACTTCAGTTCCTGCCCAGAGTGAACCCAGTTACTATAGTAACCTGATGCAATTCTCTCTTATAGGGCGGTTAGTTTTCATTTTGTATTTGAAGAGTTTGGCCAGGCAGGCGCGTTGCCATGGCTCGGCCTGTCGGCGGCAGTTAGGAGCAGAGGGAACCCTTTGAGCAGCCTCTAGGTCCCTCTAATTGATGGTGGAAACCTGTGACTGGAAAAACCCAGGCTCAGCTGCACCGGGGAAGGAGGGAGGGAGAGTCTCGGCTGGTGTGGTGCTGGATACCCGCTCCTGTTCAGAGATCACACCTTCCTAAATACAGCTACCTGGGCCCAGGTTGGCCTCTCAGCCCCTTGCTCCCAAGTGCCTTCTAGTTCCCCTCCGTGATCCTCATCCTGGGGGCCGTGCTCTGAGCTATTTCATTCAACCCTGAATGCCCAGTCCCTGGCAGACAGAGGACCTCCAACAGATGTTTGTTGAAGAATGAATGATCTTTCGTAGTTTACGAAAAGCTTTCATACTCATTATCTTCTTTATTCCCCATGATAGCCCTGTAAGGTCCCAGGGCAGGAGGAAGGGGAAGCTGAGGTCCAGCAAGGTGAGAGACTTGCTAGCACAGCCTGCCTCCCCTCCCTGTGCACTTTTGCAGCTGTGCTTGCCTCTGGGCAGCCCACAGAGTTGCCTGGTACCTGCTCCTTGCGGCAGACAGAATGTCACAGGCAGACCTCAAAAGCAAGGCAGTCAGGAGACCCCTGTTACTCAAGTCAGGTGACTTGATTGGTTCACCTTGAGTTTGTCTCAGACATGACACAGATCCCTGGATGGGTCCTTTGTACCCTCAGAGGCCCAGGCATGGGTGCCACAGTTTTCTCTTCCTCCTTGGTTGTGAGGCTGGGGCCTAGTAAGGGAGGCAGTGAAGGAGGCAGGAGAGAAGATGCTTGGTGACTAACTTCAAAACACAGCAGAAGGTTCCCTTGGCCCAGACCATGGAGGAAATTGCAGGACAGACAGGGCCTCTCAGTCCCTAAACTCCCTGTGAAGTGGAGGTGAGGTTGGGGGAGAGGAAGGCTGAGCTCAGCATGCCCAGTGCAGGCTGACCTGACCTCTCTGTTCCTCCCTCCATGCTGAGAGTGTATTTCCAGGTTAAATAAAACTTCTTCCACCCAACCCTGGCCCCAACATTCATTTCTTTGTAATGCTCCCTTGGCTAGGAGGTACTAATGTATCCGGAGCAGCAGCTCATGCTGCTGTGGGACTCTGCCCTCTTCCCGCCTCCGCCTCCCCGCCCCCCCCCCCGCCTTACAGGCCAGTGTGAGCAGCCGCGTGTAGAACTGCTCTCTGTGGCCCTGGAGTCAGCAGCATGGGCGGCTGTGTACATGGGTGAGCCAGGACAGAGCGAGCTGGAGGGGCCAGGGCCCAGCACAGAGAGGACAGGGTGTGAGGATAAGCAACTCTGTCCCCTCTCAGCAGTGAGGTGCACACCTGCCCAGGAGGCCCCGACACCCAGCACAGGCCCCTGATCTCGGGCCTCCCTCTCCAGGAATCAGAACCTTCAGAATGCCCAAGCTGGACCTTAGAGGCCTCTCACGTCACAGATGTGGAGCCTGGGGCCACAGAGAGGAAAGACGTGAGGCCCCCGTCACAGTCATCAGGCATGGGGGGACCCACAGTGGGATCTCCTTGAGAACCAGCCTGGGCCTCCCCTGGATGTGAACCCAGCACCGAGCCCAAGCCAGGCACACAGCAGGTGTCACTGAACGTTTTTTTCAGCTGCTTTGCCATTCCTCCTGTTGTGACAACAGGAGTCTCAGCTTTGCGGAAGGAAGGTTAGGGCTGGAAGAGAACTTTGACACCACTGAGCCCCACCTTCATTTATAGAAAGAGACCCCACTGATTAATAATGCTAAAAATAACCATAGCTAATACTCACAGAGTGCTAGGCAGGGTTCTCGGCACTTGGTATATACTAGCCCACTGCAGCCTCACAACGACCATTAGGCAGCATGTGATATTATCATTGTCCCCAGGTGAGGAAACTGAGGCACAGAGAGGCTTAGTCACTTGCCCAGGATCACAGAGCTAGTAAGTGTTAGGATCAGGATCCAGACGCAGGCAGCCTGGCTCCCGGGCCCACCCCACTAACACCCCCTGCACCGCCAGAGAGCAAAGCCCTGCCAGCAGACGCTCACCAGTCTCTTCTCCGAGTTCAGAGAGGAGTCTGGGTCAACCCGGTGAGTTTACTCAGGAAACAACTTTTTCATCTCCGTATCCCCCTCCAGGGCTCGGCTCCGGGCCTGGCAGGGGCTCAGGGGCCTGCGTTCAATGCAAGTGAGCTGCTCTTCTTCCTTATCATGAAACAGCCAGTTTGGGGGCACCTTTGAGCTGGAAGGGACCTAGGGAAGCAATTTACAGAAATGGAGGCTCAGAGAGTGAACGTGTCTTGGTCGGGTCACACGACACCTGGTCCAGGGCTCTCACTACCCAAGAGAGGCCTCCCAAGAGGGCCCTGACGCGGGGCAGCTGCCCCGCCCTCCGTCACCCCACGGTGCGGTTCCATCCTGGCTGTGCTAACAGGCTCTCTGCTCCCACCAGCTCTTCGTGATTGACAACGGTGCGGACGACTGGCGGATAGCCATGACCTACGAGCGCATCCTCTACATCAGCCTGGAGATGCTGGTGTGCGCCATCCACCCCATTCCCGGCGAGTACAAGTTTTTCTGGACCGCGCGCCTGGCCTTCTCCTACACCCCCTCGCGGGCGGAGGCCGACGTGGACATCATCCTGTCCATCCCCATGTTCCTGCGCCTGTACCTGATCGCCCGCGTCATGCTGCTGCACAGCAAGCTCTTCACCGACGCCTCGTCCCGCAGCATCGGGGCCCTCAACAAGATCAACTTCAACACGCGCTTCGTCATGAAAACCCTCATGACCATCTGCCCCGGCACCGTGCTGCTCGTGTTCAGCATCTCACTGTGGATCATCGCCGCCTGGACCGTCCGGGTCTGCGAAAGGTATTTGCGTGGGTTCTGTTCTCCGCTAGACTGGGGCCTCTGAGCACGCAGCTCGTGCTGGGCTGGGGGAAAGGCGGAGGAGCAGGGGCGCCAGGATGCATGTGGTCTGACTGAGGAGACAGGCATGTATCTAGACAGCGCAGGAGAAAATGGGGAAGGGGAGGGCCGAGTTGGGGCTGAATACCTGCAGCAACATGGAAACATTGGAACCAAGGTAAGCTGGGGAAAACGCATATATAATCGTTCTCATTTCCTGTTCCCTCTTTGTAAACCAATATATCAAAGCATTCTGGTTATATCGTCAAACTTTTCTAGCGTATAACACTTTGAAAGTTCTGTACCTTCTCTCCCTCTTGGCAACTGAGGATGCCCTCTAGCAGTTTAAAGGCTCTGAGAAGTCGTGCAGTAATGAAACTGATTTAATTTTGCCTAATCCAGGTTTTCTCAAAAGTATTCACCCACAAACGCTTTTCATTGGACATCACTCTTGATGCCTCAGTACTCAAAACTTTGGTCCACAGACCAGCCTCATGAGCATCAATGGGAACTTGTTAGAATGCAGAATCTCAGGACTGAATAGACTTTGCATTTTAACAAGTTCACTGGTGATTTGTGTGCATCTTAAAGGTTTTTGTTGTTGTTGATTAATTCATTATATTTAATTTGAGTCCTTTTATGATGTTTTACAAGCATTTTTAAGCAAACAGAATTAATAATATTAAACAAAAGTATTAGTATGTTTTATTTCAGAAAATATTTTGAGATATTGTTGAATGATCTTCAAAAATCCGATTGTTAAGAACTATGTACTTTTCTGCAATGAGTATTTCTGTCAACATTTCTATTTCCTTAGCTTGAAAGGTAGGGTTACAAGAATAAAACCGGTTCTGGTTTCTTTCCCAAAGACTTTCTGCTTTTTATCTCACCCACAAGTAAAACTCTTTAAAGAAACTGATTATTTTCCTCATCACTGCATTTTAATTGTTTGAGAGGTAGGATATTTGCAGGGATAAAAATTTCAAATATAAAATTATATATAATGCTTAAATTAATGCTTAAATTAATTTTTAAATGTATAGAAGTAGTTTAAATTAAGCAGAAAATGAATTAGGACTTGTTATACCTTAAGCATTCTCATAAGAGCAGGACTCACTTCACTGACCTGTAACACATCACAACTAAAACCTGTTATCAATTTGAAGTCACTTACCTATTTTTTAACACATTTATTGTGGTGTGATTCCTGCACAGTAAACTACACAAATTTCAGATGTACAATTTGATGAATTTTGATAGATGTATAGACCAATGAAACCACCACCACAAGAAAGATAGCTAACATTTCCATCACTCCGCAAGAGGTACAAATTCGAACTCCCAATTTATTCCTTCCCACCCTCTTTACCCTCTGGCAACCATAAGTCTGTTCTCTATGTCTGTGAGTCTGTTCCTGTTTTGTAGATAAGTTCATTTGTGTCCTTTTTTTAGATTCCACATATAAGCGATATCATATGGTATTTTTCGTTCTCTTTCTGACTTACTTCACTTAGAATGACAATCTCCAGGTCCATCTGTGTTGCTACAAATGGCATCATCTTATTCTTTATTTTATGCCTGAGTAGTATTCCATTATGTGTGTGTGTGTGTGTGTGTGTGTGTGTGTCTATATATACATATATATATATATATCCCCGACATCTTTATCCAGTCATTTGTCGATTGACATTTGGGTTGTTTCCGTGTCTTGACTGTTGCAAATAGTGCTGCTGTGAACACTGGGGTACATGTGTCTTTTCAAATTATATTTTTCTCTGCATATATGCCCAGAGTGGGATTGTTGCGTCATATGTTAAGTCTATTTTCAGTTTTTTGAGGAATCTCCATACTGTCCTGCGTAGCCTCTTGTGCACCTTAAAGTCTGAGAAGCACTGTACTGATGGGACATACTTTGGGAACCATTGTTTTAGGAGACTGGTGGCTGGGCAGTGACTCAGAGAAGTGACTGGTGGGAGAGAAGGGGGTTGGCCTATAAGGATCTAATGCCAGCCCCTCAGAACTGCCATCCCCGAGGCCCAAGTGTAGGCCTGTGGCGCCCTCCTCCCACCGCCATCTCCAAGTTGCCCTTGGTGACTCCTCTCCTTTTCAAGCTGGTCCTGGATATTCATTTTCTCTGATTTCATGTGTGGAATCTGAACACCTAGGTGAAAAACCTGGATTCTGTCCCTAAGTAGCCGTGAGACGTTGAGCAAGTCACTTAACCTCTCTGGGCCTCAGTGTCCTCATTTTAAAATCACTTGAGATAGAAGAAAGATGTGTTCCCTTGGGAGAGGTTATTTTTAGTATGCTGGGAGGCCAGGTCAAGCATCCTGTGTCATTTACACAGGTCCTGGTATTTCACTGAGCCTCATGAAACTTGCCTGGTAAGCAGGCACTCTTTCTGCAATGGAGAAGCATATGCTTGGAGCACAAACTCCTCATAGTACCCTTAGCTGAGCAATATGGTGCCAATCACTTTACCTCTCTGGGCCTCAGTTTTCTCACCTGCAAGCTGGGGATAACGCCTACTTTATAGGATTTGTTGTTGGGGTCAAACAAGATAATGTATGTGAACTGTGCACTGTAATACAAGGATAGTGACAATTCCTAATAATAACGGAGACCCCTTGAGAACTCTTGAGAATTTTGTGGCTGCTTTCTTATAAACAGAACAAACCAATTCCTACCATAGATAGAACTATATACTCTTTCTGTTTTCCTTTCTAATCGATTGAAGCTGAGTCTTCTAACAATAATAATAATTGAATCTGCATAGCCCTTTAAGGTGTTTGAAATCTTCCATGTCCTCAGATCAACCCTGTCTGGTGTAGATGATCGTTCCATTTTTCAGGTGAGAGAAAGGGCTGCACGTGGAGCAAAGTACCAGCAAGTGAATTGCATTGTTTATCAAACCTGTCAGAAGTGATTTTTTTTGGTGATGATTTTTTATTGGAAGATAAGCATGCTTCAAAGTATGTAGTTTGCAAAGTACTCTGTTGTATGTTATTTGGCACTGAATGGCTCTCCATGGCCTCCACCCTGAGGCTGGATTAACCAGGTCCCCATCAGACCACCGGGCCTCTGTCTGCAGAGATGACTGACAAACCCCAGCTGAAGTCTAAGGCAAAGGTACAGAGAAGCAACGAGCAAATCAAAACTTCTCCTAAAGTTTCCCCTCCTCTGGTGAAAAGGCCCTTTGACCAAAAGGCTTCTGCTTAGATCTCACACGAGGTATATTAAAGCACGTGGGGTGTCGTTGCCCATTTTGGGGAGTTTACCCTGTGCCAGTTCCATGTGGGATGCTTCACTGATATCTCCATTTGTCCTCACAGTTGACCTAAGATAGAGACTCTGTGACTGCCCTGGTTTTAGAGTGGAGGAAACTGACGTAAATTAACTGGCCCAAGGTCACAGAGCCGGTAAATACGGAGCCAGAATTTGAACTTGCTTCTGACTCTGAACTTCATATTTGTTTCACCAGCCCAGGCTGAATCCTGCACTTACAAGGAAACTGTGGCCTGGACTCTCCTGGTGACTTTCCAGATCTGAGCGTCTCAAAGCCACTGAGATTGACACTTAAATCCCAGTCTTGCTGTTTTGCCTGCCTCCGATGTCAGTGCTCTTAACCGTTCTGTCACACTGTCTTCAGGGCTGACTTCACATTAAATTCAACCATATCTGAGTGTAATGATTGCTGTGATGCACCAGTCACCCAGATGCCTCCTCTGGGCCCAGGCTCTCAGCCCCTCAGCTGGGGTTGTCGGTTCTGGCAGAATTGCCCTGGATGAAGGGAGTTGCCTCAGCCAAGTTCAAGTCTGCTGCCCAGGACAGCAAGCATCCAGTGCCCTGTCAGTGCAGGAGCTGAAAGGCCCAGGCCTTTACCTCTGGCAGAACAGCTCTGCGGGCCTCCCAGGCTCCCAGGCTCTCCAAGGGATGGAGGGGTCCCATGGCACTTCACCTCCTCTCTCTACGCCCCATGGGTGCCGACCCTAAGAGCAGCCCCAGTGAACCTCCTGCACTCAAATCTCAGGGTCTAAGCGACTCTTTCCCAGGCATCTGACCTACGGAGCTGTGAAAGCATGTATGAATAAGTATATTTTTTCCTAATCAGGCAAAGCACTTTAAAAAAAGAACGAGCAGTTTCTTTCAGAATCCAGCTTAAATGACCACTGTCCTTCCCCAATGTCAAATAATAAGTAAGATTGGCAGAGACTTCGAGACAGGAATTATTCAACCAGAGACCGGACGGAACCTGGAAGCAGGGGCTGCCTTGGAGGATGGAAGCCTTGGAACAGGGTGGGAGGACGATGTTGGCAAGATGACCTTGCTCTCTCTCAGCCTGATCGGATGACGATTCTGTCACCTGAGACAGCAGAGGGGGTAAAGGACTTGCCCAAGGTTGCATAGCAGAGTGACAGGTTCTAGAAAAACTCCCCTCTGTTGATGCCCAGAGCAGGGCGTGTGTTCGCATTCCAGGTGGGTTTCATCAGCCCGGATGCATCTCTGGCTGTATACACACAATTCTGAAGTTGCTATGGAAATCCCTCTTCAGCGAGACATTTTCAAAGACATTTCTCATATCTGGGGTTGGCTTTTATTCGACAATAAGGGTTTTTCACCTTTCCTCCTTCCTAGGGGGGAGAGGGAGTTAGTAATTACTCAGAAGAGCCTGCTATCGGGAGGGCAGAGCCTGGTTGCTGGGAGGGCAGCATCAACAGCGGGCTTGTTTTCCTTGGACCCCGGCGAGGCATTACATCATGGGTTCTGAGGCCTGACAGTTGTGGCACTCGGCATATTCTCTGGGATTCTCCTGGCCGCGTGCCCGCCTCCCACAGGCCTCCCAGAGCCCATCGCAGGAACCTCCTCATTAAACACTGTCACACACCAGGCAGCCTTGTTGGTGGAGGGACCATCTGAGGCCCCAGGTCGACTGGCGGCAGGCTGGGGGAGGGGGCTTTCCCGGC